CTCCCGGTCCTGCTCCTTCAGGTGTTTCTCAGGTAGACCCTCCTCCCTTGACTGTGCCGGTTGAGGTCACTGGTGACTCAGGTCCTACTGAGAGTGGTCCTGCTCGGGGTACTACTTCTGGGGGTGCTGAGCCTGGGGGTGCGGAGCCTGAGGGTGCTGAGCCTGGGGGTACTGAGCCTGAGGGTGCGGAGCTTGAGGGTGTGGAGCCTGGTGGTGCTGAGCCTGAGTGTGAGGGGTCTGGGGGTGCTGAGCTTGGCGGTACTGACGCTGGAGGTTCTGGAGCTACTGAGGGTGGTGGCGCTGGAGGTTCGGGAGCTGCTGGAGGGCCTAGTACTGGTGGCGCTGGAGCTGGAGGTTCTGGAGCTGCTGAGGGTGCTCGCGCTGGAGGTTCTGGAGCCGCTGGAGGTACTGGTGCTGAGGGTACTGACACCGGAGGTTCTGGAGCCGTTGGGGGTGCGGGCGCTGAGGGTTCTGAGTCTGCTGTTGCGCGGTCTCCTTGGAGTGGCCGCCTTCGTCCACGTGTGCCTCTCACCCCACAGCAGCTGCAGGACTGGTACGGTCGCCGTCAGCGTCGCGCTGCTGGAGCTAGGAGTGGTGCTGGTCCTTTGTCTACTGGAGGTGCTGGAGTCGCTGGTTCTGGAGGTGCTCGTGCTGGAGACACTGAGGCTGGAGACCCTGGGACTGGAGGTGCTGGTTCTGGGGGTGCTGCTGCTGGAGACACTAAGGCTGGAGACCCTGGGACTGGAGCTTCTGGAGCTGCTGGAGGTACGGGAGCTGCTGGAGGTACTGGAGCTGCTGGAGGCACTGGAGCTGCTGGAGCTGCCGGTACTGGTGCAGCTGCGCCGACACGGCTGTTCTTCGCTCCGCTGTCTCCGTCGTCTCTGCCGCCGCCTGACTCTGCTCTTCGTCAGGTTGTTACTCTCCCGTCGTCTACTGGTCTTCCGTTACAGCCTGGCTCACTGCTGCCTGCTCCTTCTCCTTACACTGAGCAGACTGGTAGTCCTGCTGAGCGTCGTGAGCCTGCGTCGCGTCCTGTCTCGCCTGCTCGTCCTGGTCGTACCGGTCGTCGTGTTCCTCGTTCGCGTCAGCCGGCTGTCCCCAGCGCACGCCTCGTAGTCCGTCGTCCTTCCTCTGCTCTGCAGCTTGTTCCTTTGCTGTCTCCCCCTGCGTCCTCTCTGCCTGCCGTTCCGGACCCTGAGTCTGACAGGTTTCGTACTGAGCACCCTACTGTCACGCGTCTCCTAGCCACTGTTGTCACTGACCCGTCGTTTGAGTCTACTGCTGCGTCTGCCTTGGTCGCTGAGCTTGTTGACTTTGCTGCTGCCTGTCGTCTAGACTACGTCGCTAGTCTTGTTGCTGAGTCTGAGTCTGTCTGTCCTCCGTCCGTCGGGGGTGAGTGTGCTCTTAGCACGGACGTCCTTGAGGACAGGCAGGAGGAGTTCCAGTGTCTTGCTGCTGCTTTACCTCATCTTGTGTCCTCGCTACTTGCCCCTAAGGGAGACCCGGATGCACCAGACATCCCGACTCCGCGCTCTTACGCAGAGGCGATAGAGGGTCCCTACTCCTCTCAGTGGCAGGCAGCCATGGACGCAGAGATGGCTTCCTGGAAGTCCACAGGCACCTACGTTGACGAGGTTCCCCCACCTGGGGCGAACATCGTCAGTGGCATGTGGATTTTCAGGGTGAAGCGGCCGCTGGGTTCTCCGCCTGTCTTCAAGGCGCGTTACGTGGCTCGAGGCTTCAGTCAGCGAGAGGGAGTTGACTTCTTCCAGACCTTCTCCCCCACCCCGAAGATGACCACTCTTCGGGTGCTGCTGCACGTTGCTGCTCACCGTGACTACGAGCTTCACTCTCTTGACTTCAGCACAGCTTTCTTGCAGGGTAGCCTGCACGAGGAGATCTGGCTGCGCCGCCCCCCGGGCTTCACTGGGTCGTTCCCTCCTGGTACCCAGTGGAGCCTCCGGCGGCCGGTCTACGGTCTCCGCCAGGCGCCACGTGAGTGGCACGACACACTGAGGACTACGCTTGCGGCTCTTGGGTTTGCGCCTTCTACTGCTGACCCGTCGCTGTTTCTGCGCACCGACACTTCCCTGCCGCCGTTCTACATCCTCGTGTACGTCGACGACTTGGTTTTTGCCACTGCTGACACTGAGGCTCTCGCCCACGTGAAGTCGGAGCTGCAGAAGAGACACACGTGCACTGACTTGGGTGAGCTGCGCAGCTACCTTGGCTTGCAGATCACCCGAGACAGAGCACGTCGCACCATCACCTTGACTCAGTCACACATGGTGCAGCAGGTCCTTCAGCGCTTCGGCTTCACCTGGTCTTCAGCACAGGCCACTCCTCTGGCTACAGGTCACACGCTCTCAGCTCCACCTTCGGACGAGTCCGTAGAGCCGAGTGGTCCTTACCCAGAGCTAGTCGGCTGCCTCATGTACCTGATGACTTGCACTCGACCTGACCTCGCGTACCCTCTTGGTCTCCTGGCTCGCTACGTGGCTCCTGGTCGGCACCGACCTGAGCACATGGCTGCTGCTAAGAGGGTACTGCGTTACTTGTGCAGCACATCAGGCATGGGGCTAGTGCTTGGAGGGACGAGCCCAGTTGTCCTCACTGGGCACTCAGACGCTTCTTGGGTTGACGACCTGGCTACTCAGTGGTCGTCACAGGGTTACACCTTCAGCCTTGGCTCTGGTTCAGTTTCGTGGCGTTCTACACGCTCGTCTTCAGTTCTCGGCTCCAGTTGTGAGGCTGAGATCTACGCCACCGCCATGGCTGCACAGGAGTTACGCTGGCTCACCTACCTGCTGACTGACTTGGGAGAGCAGCCTCGTTCTCCTCCAGTGCTGTACGTTGACAACAAGGCCGCCATTGCCTTGTGTGAGGAGCACAGACTGGAGCATAGAACGAAGCACATTGCTCTGCGGTACTTCCTGGCTCGAGAGTTGCAGCAGCGAGGCCAGCTTCGTCTTCGCCACGTGGCCACTCGGGCCAACACTGCTGATATATTCACCAAGGCACTTCCGTCTGGTGATCATCAGCGCTTTTGTACTCTGTTAGGCCTTGTGCCTACGTTTCCACACTTGCTGTAGTCTCTGCTTGTACTGTGATCTGTACATATATATATATATATATGCATGCTGGCTCTTGCTAGGTAGCCATCACTGTACTGTTATTGCTGCATATATATCTCTGCATGTGAACTGGCCCTGTGGCCCTTTGCTTGTGCTCGGAATGCGTGGTGACGTTGTGATCCACCCTGAGCTTGTTTTGCTTCTCTTGACTGGTCGTGTGACCTCTTGTTCTCCCCCACTTTGCCTATGGGGGTGTGTCAAACTATATGTGCTGCATATTGTCTAGGCTGTAGTGGGGTAGCCCATATGGGGTACAACCCAATTAGGGTTTACTACTTGTACTCCTGCATCCTGTTAGTTCACTCATTCCTGCTGCTAGATTCTAACACCGCCGCCCTCGCGTCTCATCGCGATCGCGTTCCCACCACACTCCCGTCACCCTCCGTCCTGCCTTTCGTAATTTATTACCTCCCCTCGCGTCGTTCCTCTTCTCTTCCCTCCCCTCCCGTCGATCCCTCTTCAGGTCCTCGATCCCGTGGCCTCGCTCTCTCCCATCCCTTTCCGCCGCCCTCACTCTCTCCCCTCCCTTTCCGCCGCCCTCGCTCTCTCCCCTCCCTTTCCGTCGCCCTCGCTCTCTCCCCTCCCTTTCCGTCGCCCTCGTTCTCTCCCCTCCCGTTCCATTGACCCTTGCTCTCTCCCCTCCCTTTCTAGCATTCCGCGGATTTTTCTCACGCATCTCTCCTCTTGCGCCCTCGTTTCTATTGCTCTATTTGTCTATTCTCTGTTATATGCAGCGATGGTTTTCACATGTTGTTATTGCCGCCCTAGCAGGCCTATGTCTAAGGCCTTAGCTTTGCGTGATTTGGGCTTGCTTCGCGTGAGTCGGACTTGCTTTGCGTGGGTTGGATTTGCTTTGCACGAGTTGGACATGTAAATTTGGCTCTGAATGTAATTGTGATTCGCACGTCGTTGCCTTTCAAGCGACATTTTTGCACATGCTTGCGATGATTTTTGTTTGAGAAATTTGGAGACTCGATCAGTATCATATGGGGCTGGAAAAAAAAAAATACACAACAGTGCTTCAACTTTCAAGTGGACCCAACTAGAAGGGGGGGTCACTATTTTAGCTGCTGGCTTTAAGAGGAATATATTTCACGGCTAAGCTGGACGATCGTTAGGCTGTTCCGTGAATGGCGTTGGCTGAACCGTGAAGGTTTGTATTCTTAGCTGCAGTAATTGAGCAGAGTAACTATCATTCCGTGAAAAGAACAACGCCAAGGACTAATTAGTACGCTGAGTAATTGTACAACAAAAATATTTAGAAGCAGATGTACAAGTCCTAATTGATGCGCCAAGTTCTAGCGGTGTCAAGAGCTGCTGAGTGGTAAAAGTATAATCGCCATCATCTTTCAGATCCTCAGCTGCTCGCCCTTCAATGCTTGAAACGACTTCGATGTTCTCGAGATCCAAAGCTGCTCGCCTTTCTTCTTGACCCCTCTTGGCCGCTAGAGGCAAATGCCTCAAGCGTTACACCCGCACACCACGTTGAGGTGAGGGCCATTCGTGCGGGACCCTGTTTGGGAGGGGTGGGAGACGGGCTAAAAATTCGAAAAAGGAGGGGACGGTCAAAATTAAGTCCACGGGCAGATTAAAAAGAATCTGCTCAAGCAAAAGCTCCTCGGTTGTCAGAAGTTGCCAGGTTGATCAGTGGGAGGGAATCGAGGAGGAGGAGAGTGGCCTAGAAAAAAAAAAAAAACCCAAACCGTCCCCAAAAATCTACCCAGAAAATCTACCCAAAAAACCCAAAAAACCCAAAACCAGCCCAAAAAACCCCCCAAAAGTCCCAAAAATGTAGGTGGCTGATGCGAAACCTGGGGAAGGGACGGGGGCAGGGGGAGGGGTGTGGGGGGGGGGGTGGGGGTGGTGTCAAGTCAACACCATGCTCACTCCTATCTCCGCGCTCGCCTCTGATCCGCCGTGCGCCGTACGCCGCACCGCGCCAACGCGCCATACACCCGCGATTCCCGCCGACACGCCGCGCCGTCGCACTACCGCACCGCGCTCGCTCCAGCCTCTCTGCACCACAGACGACGAGAGAAAACGTTAGATATTTTGGAAAACAAAAACGATGAGTGAAAGCGACAACACCTTACAGGACTGAGCTACCGTTGACGTCGACGTTGACGTTGACGTTGACGCCGGACGGGTCAGTGGGAAGCGAGAGGGGGCGGCGGAAGAGGGTATCCAGGCGGGGGCTGCCCTTCACCACCCTCTCCGCCACCCCCTGCCCCCCTCGCTCCCACAACCCTGCCGGTTCTTCCTTGAAAAGCTTCTGACACCTGAAGCACAGGCGAAGCAACGGCATCACGGTACCACGGCAGAGACAAACGCCACAACCAAGAAAGAAAAAGCGCGAAAAAGGAAATGCGCGAAAAAAACGCGAACTGAAAAGCATGGAGGAGGAGGAGGACATATCACCAACATAGTCGCCTCTGACAACGCGCCATCCACCGTGCCGTCGTGCCACGCGCCAGTGATTCCCGCGAGACGCCCCGCCGACGCGCCATACACCCACGATTTCCGCCAAACGCGGATCGTATCTTGGAAACTGCTCACATGGCGAAGCAACGGCATCACGGTACCATGGTAGAGACACGCACAACCAACGAGAAAGATACAAAAAAAGGACGAAAAAACGACAAAAAAACGACCAAAAAAAAGATGAAAAAAAACGCGAAATAACACGAAGGAGAGGGATTAGGAGGAAATGACCAACTGAGTCGCCTCTGATCCGCCATGCGCCGGCGTGCGCCGCACCATACACCGCACCAACGCGCCATACGCCCGTGATATCCGCCAAACGCCGCGTCGTTCGCGCCATACGGCCGCGAGACCCGGCGGCGCCATGAAAACTGCTCACATGGCGAAGCAACGGCATCACGGTACCACGGCAGAGAGAGACGCACAAGCAACAAAAAAACGACGGAAAGAAAAACGAAAAAAAAAAAAAACGAAAAAAACGATGAAAAACGCGAAATAACAAACATGACGGAGAAGGAGGAAGAGGGAATCGTCACCACCATATAATCGCCGCTGATCCGCCGTGTGCCGTGCGCGCCAAACGCCCGCGAATCCCTCCGAAACGCCGCGCCGTCGCGCCATTCATCCGTGGGACACGCCAAACGTCCGTGAGGCCCGCCGGCGCCGTGAGCTCCCTCTCCCGCCGTGTTGGAAACTGCTCACATGGCGAAGCAACGGCATCACGGTACCACGGCAGAGAGAAACGCACAAGAAACGAGAAAAACGACGGAAAAAACGACAAAAAACGATGAACAAAAGCGGAATAACACGAAGGAGCGGGAGGAGGACGGAATCACCAACGTAGTCGCCTCTGATCCGCCATTCGCCGTGCGCCGCACCATAAACCGCGCCAACGCGCTCGTGATTTCCGCCGAAACGCCGCGCCGTCGCGGCATACATCCGCGGGACACGCCAAACGCCCGCGAGACCCGCCGTCGCCATGAGCTCCCTCTCCCTCTCCCGCCATGAGCACATGGCGAAGCAACGGCATCACGGTACCACGGCAGAGAGAAACGCGGCACACGCAACGAAAAACGACGAGGAAAAAAACGACGAAAAAACGATGAAAAAGCGAGAAATAACACGAAGGAGGAGGAGACGGAGTGTATCACCAACATAGAAGTCGCTCTGATCCGCCGTGCGCCGTGCGTCGCACCGCGCCAACGCGCCATACACCCGCGAGACCCGCCGTCGCCATGAGCTCCCTCTCCCGCCGTGTTGGAAACTGCTCACATGGCGAAGCAACGGCATCACGGTACCACGGCAGAGAGAAACGCACAAGCAGCGAGAAAAACGACAGAAAAAAAGCGAAAAAAAAACGACGAAAAAACGATTAAAAAACGAGGAATAACACGAAGGAGAAGGAGGACGAAATCACCAACGTAGTCGCCTCTGATCCGCCATGCGCCGTGCGCAGCGCCATACACCCGCGATTCCCGTCGAAACGCCGCGCCGTCGCGCCATGCACCCGCGAGACGCGCCATAGACCGTACCAACGCGCGCTCCGTCTCCCTCCTTCTCGCGCTCCTGCGGCACATCACTAAGGGACGAGACACACTAGGAGGAACGTTAAGTTCTTGAAAACAAAAGAAATAAACAGAATTGACGGCACTTACCAATTAAGGGAGATACTCCCTTCAAGGCTCGTTGACGTCGACGTTGACGTTGACGTTGACTCCGGACGGGTCAGTAGGAAGCGAGAGGGGGCGGCGGAAGAGGGTATCCAGGCGGGGGCTGCCCTTCACCACCCTCTCCGCCACCCCCTGCCCCCCTCGCTCCCACATCCCCGCCGGTTCTTCCTTGAAAGCTTCTTGGAAACTGCGCACATGGCGAAGCAACGGCATCACGGTACCACGGCGGAGAGAAGACGACGACGAAAAATGGAAAGCCACGAGAAATGGAAGCGACGAAAACGAGAGAACCAACGAGAGAAGCGCCGGGAGAACCGCCGTGAGAAGCGCCGGGAGAAGCGCCGGGAGAAGCGCCGGGAGAAGCGCCGAGAGAACCGCCGGGAGAAGCGCCGGGAAGCAACGCGTCAGACGTCCGCATGTGCCGTGCGCCATCCGCCAAGCGCCGTGCGCCTGAAGAATCGCCACGCGACGCGCCATGATACACCCGCGTATGCCGACGCGCGCCATACGCGCGCCCCGTGTGACGCGCCCCCTGCGACACGAATGCGCACGCGTGCGTCGCCGTCCGCCGTTCTGCAGGAAGCGAAGAAAGTCGTCAATAAAACTGCGAGTAGAATGAAGCCAAAGCGAGTGAGGAAACACGTTACCTCAACCCGAGCGAGGCGCTGCTGGTGAGGCATCAGCCGTCGGAGAATCCGGTGAAGGGGCATCCGCTTGCGACGTGAGACTCGCCGTCGCCGTCCGCCGCTTGCGACGTGCGAAAGTATGTTGCCGTTCATGCGTCGCCATGCGCCTGCATGAAATCAGTAAAAAAAAATTATCCGTTAAGAAACGCCAAGAGAAAGGAACAACAGAACGAAATTAGACGAAACCGTCAAGAAGGACTGAACTCTCGGAATACACGTTACCTCAGCCCACGTGAGGCGGCGCTTCTGGTGAGCCATCAGCCGTCGGCGAATAAAAGGTCCATCAGCCGTCGCCGTCCGTCCGCGACGCGAGCAACGTCGTTGCGACGTGAAAAACGCCATCGTTCGTCGTCAAAGTCCTCGCCGCCGGTATACGCGTTTGCGCGGCCGGAGAAACGGTTGGCGAGGCCTGCAGGAAGACAAGGACACACGTTAGTACTAGTAATGAAAAAAAAAACATAAGGATGTAAAACAGAAGGATCTATTGGCGAAATGCTCTTGAAAGTCAAGTCACCTCACTATCATCGGCGCTTTCATGTCCACCGGCGAATGCGACCGCGAGGCGTCCTCTCACAGGCGAAAGCTCTGCAGACGGCGAACTTGGCAGCGAAAGCTCCGCGATCATGACGGGGAAAGCTCCAGTCGGCGGCGAAAGTTCCCCGATTATGACAGTCGGCGGCTAAGGTTCCGCGATTACGACGAGAAAAGCTACAGTCGGGGATCTTGAATCAGGCTTCAAGGAATCTTTACGTGAAAGCTCCAGCCGGCGGCGAAAGCTCCAGTCGTCTGTAGAAAAACAAGGATAGAGTTAGAACCACGTCAAGCGGCAAAATCAAGTATAGATCGAATTTGCAGAAAGAGTTGAAAGTTGCGGATTCGTAGAGTTGAAAGTTACGGCAAAAAAACTATTTAAGAACGAATCTAGAAAATAGCTGCTTACCTCCACACGAGCGACGAAGGAGGTCGCGCCAGCAGCCACTCGAGCCGTCGGAGCGCCAAGGGAGACGCCATCGGAGCGCCATAGGAGCCAGAAAGCCACATCAGGGCTCGAGCTCCTCGGAACGGCGAACACTCCAGTCGGTGGCCAAATCTCCGCTATTGAGACGGCAAGATGGTTCCCTGCAGGAAACGAGATAATGAGTTTAAGTCAAAGGGCAAACTTTGCAAAAAGAAGAACTTACAGAAACAAGTTGAAAACTTTGGAAACGGCATATATTTTCAGATCTTAACCAACAAACAAGGTTCAAGAAAGTGGTTGAAGATATTTGCTTACCTCCACTCGAGCGACCGGAGATGCTGCGGAGCCACCGGAGCGCCATCGCCGTCGAAGCGCCGTCGGAGCGCCATCGGAGCGCAAGGGAGACCTCGCCGTCAGAGCGTTATCGGAGCAAGGAGAACACCTTCGGAGACTTCGAGGGAGATCGAGCCAGTAGGGAACTTCGGCGTGAAGACTTTGCCGCATAGAAACTCCGGTCATTGAAACTCGTGCAGTGGCGAGTTTAGAAGGGAGACCTCGCCGCGATGATTTCGCCATGAAGGATCTTGGCGTGAAGATCATGTAGAGAACATCGCGCTTGTAGCGGAGACCTCGCCGTGAGAAATTATGGCGTGAAGGTCTCGTAGACATAATCTCGCCCCGTTGAACTTGCGGAGGAGATTACTTAGATGTCGCGGTAAAGGGGTTGCCGCGAAATTTCGGCGTAGTACACGGTTCGGCACCAAGGCAGCAGCAGCTCGCTCAGACACTCTAATCTACCCAACCCACCCCACCCATCTCATCTAACCTACACGACCTCACGCTGCCGCATGCCCTCGTGCTTCCCCATGTACTAGCCAGGAGGCTTCAGGTAAGTTGAGTTGATTTGCTCCGTGGAGCTTGTATCCTGAAGGCCGAATCGAGCTCATTGTGTTGGAGCTTTTCGTAAATCCTTCATTGAAATCGGGAAGGAAAATCGGAAAAGAAGGTTGAGAATGAGACTTGGGTAAGTTTTGATGGAGGAGTTGCCTGCAAAAGCAGGCTGCTGCTGGATGAAAGAGTTCTATTGTTGAGTTTGGTATGTGGCGGCCGCGCGGGGCGTCTGAGCGCAGGGACCACCCAAATGTAATGGCTTAATTAGAATAAGATAGCTGGGTTCAGTACGGTGCAACATGGCGCGGCTCCTCTTGTGCTGGTTCAGTGCGGGAATGAATGATAGTCTGCTAGGCTGCGCGGTGCGGGGAGAGAGGCAATGTGAATGGATGGACGGATGGTGATGGAGTAGCCGCAGCAACGGCGAAGATTTTGCCGCGGCATGTGATGGGGCTGTGCTTGTGACGGCTTGCGCGCGGTGGGGCAAGAAATTCCCCACCTAGGAAATGTCAGAAGATTCTTTGGCGGGGAGATTCTGAGCGCCTCGTGAAGAATGCTTGGGGTGACGTACGAGGCCCAAAATTTTAGCTCACGTCATCCAGGTTCCAATCCAAGTTGTGCACTCCTTTCACAGGTTGGTAAGTTCTGTTTTGTTTGAATTCACAACGTTGGTTTTCCTTGTGCTGCTGCTAACGAGTTTGCCCAAGGCGCGTACATTGGAAGGTTAGTTTGCTGAGCAGCGCCCGATATGCAACAAAGGTCGGGCCAGGGCAGGCTAAAACTTTTCTAGGAGGCTGTAGACGTGGCACTTTTCTAACTAGATGAACTTTTGCGTGAGGTGCGGAACGGCAATGGCGTGGTTAGGAAGTTCGTGCGTGGCGCGGGAAGTTTAGCATTTTTTTTCTGTTAGCAGCAGCACTCATTTCGCCGTTCCGAACTTGACCTGGGCAATTGAAAAGATAAGGGGTGATTGACGCGAGCCAATAGAGGATGACTTGCGTTTTTGTCACCCTCGTACAACCACCATCGCATTGAATCAACAGTCCGAACCTCACAGTATCCCACCTGCCATACCTAATTTAATTGTCCCGACCAACATTGTCTAGTTAGTTAGGGTGTGACTTACCTTAGTCCCGCCAGATCGAGCCAGTGAGAGTTAGTGCTCCCGTCACCTCATTATTCCAACTGTGATTAACTAATTTTAGGTTTGGTAACATCAGAGCGCGATTGTCAGTACTACGTGCAGCCTCGCATCGTGTATCTACGAGTTATGGCCAACACCGTAACTAGTTTTGGTCCTGCTGTAAGTCGAACGCCCATGTTCGCCGCTTCGCGCGTGTATTGCCGTGACTAGTATTAGTATCAGATCCCGATAAGTTACCATTAGTTGCCCGCTCGTTTGTTCGTATGCTGACGTGTTGGTAGCCTCGATATACGGACGCGTTAGAAGCGTTCTCGAGACACGTGGATCCTCGACATCTGGAGGCACGAGCAGCGAGCGTCGTGAAGGTAAGACGACGGCGGTAGCGACGGCAGGTGACGAAGCCAATGCGCAGTAGCCTGGAGCCCGTTGGATCTTGAAGCGCCGAAGATCTGCAATGTAATATTGAAAACATGAGAGCGTGGTTTGCTGCTGCGATCTGCAATGTGAAATAGAAAGAATTCACCGAACACGACCTGAAGCTGGGCGTGACCTGGCGGAGCGTGGTGACAGGCGGAGTGGCCGCTTTCCCCTTATTTTCTCCCTTCCCCTCCCCCCGCGTTCGTCCCCCTCCTTCCCCCTCCTTCCCCCCTCCTTCCCCTCTCCTTGCCCCTTCCTTTCCCCCTTCTTCCCCCTTCCTTCCCCTCTCTTCCTCTTGTCCCTCATTCCGCCCTGACCCCCAATCTCCCAGAAACGTTATGCATCCCTCATCACCCCAGCTCTCTCCTCATCACCCTAGCTCTCTCCTCATCACCCCCACTCTCCCATTATTATCCCCACTCTCCCATTTTTTTTCCCACTCTCCCATTATTATCCCCACTCTCCCATTATTATCCCCAGTCTCCCATTATTATCCCCAGTCTCCCATTATTATCCCCAGTCTCCCATTATTATCCCCACTCTCCCCTCATCTCCCCCGCTCTTTCCTCTTTTTCCCAGCTCTCTCCGCATCCCCCCTGCTGTCTCCTCATCGCCTAGCGCTTCCCTAAATCCCCTCTGATCTGGCGCGTGGCTGCATGTGACACCGCTGGATGTGGCACGTGGCTGCATGTGACACCGCTGGATGGGCACGTGGCTGCATCCCCCCTGCTGTCTCCTCATCACCTAGCGCTCTCCTAAATCCCCTGTGCTCTCTTCTTATTTCCCGGTGGTCACTTTTCCTTCCCCTTTACCTACCCGTTCCATCTCCTCTCCATTCGCCCCTCGTTTTTCCATCTCTCTCCCTTCCCCCCAGCCCCCCCCCTCTCTCCGTCCTACTCTTTCCTCTTGTTGCCAAATCAGGCTCTGCAGCATCACGCACAGCGTTTACAATCATTCACCCCACATCTCCATCCCCTTACCTACCACCACCACCCTAATCTCCCCTCATCTCCCTCACCCCACATCCCCCTTCCCGCAACCTGACCCCCGCGTTTCCCCCCCCCCCGCCCTCCCTTCACCTTTCCCCCACTCACCTATCTTCCGCTGTCCTCCCCTCACCTTTTGAGACGTCTCAAAAAGACGTCTCATGAGACGTCTCAAAAGTTTCGAGACGTCTCAAAAGTCTTCCGCTGTCCTCCCCTCACCTTTCCTGTCTCACCTCCTCAACTCCCCTACGCACTCACTCTGATCTGGCACGTGGCTGCATGTGATGTGATTGGTTGCCTTGGCAGCCTCAGATATGTCTGTTTTGATTCATGGTCTGACACGTGGCTGCATTTGATTGGCTGGCAAGGAGGCCCTCGAGATTCAGCTGTCAGTTCAGATACTTATGGCATGAAGTGTTTGTTGGAATTCGCTAATGAACCCAGCTCTCAGGCTGTTGGAATGAATTCAATGTTATTATAATATACACTTTCTAAGTCAGCAACCACGAGTTAATTACCTTCAGTGTGCTAAGCTCAAAGATGTTGAAGATGGAAAAACACAGCACATTGCTATCTAATGGTGAATGCAGCGAACTCTGCACAAGTGCTTTTTGAGTAGGTTGTATATTCCTAAAGAAGTTACCTCCTCTACACCTAGCAACTGTTGCAATTCTCCATCCACTCTGTATCGAGCCAGCCGCCCTTCTCCCACTTCCACCTTCTCCCCCTGCTCCTTGACTCGCTGCCACACTTGATGACCTGCCTCCTTGAGAATTATGCTGTCACCCTGCAGGAAAAGTAGAGGGACAGGGTAAATAGACGATTTGGTTGGATAGATCGTTTGGCAGATGGATTGATGGATGATGCCTGGATGCACATAGAGAGAGATGATGGATGAAATGTATGCAACCTTTTGAGACGTCTCAAAAGACGCAACCACGGCGCCAAACGACTTCTGAAGCGCCTCAGAAGATGTCTTTTGAGGCGCCTCGAGATGATGATGGATGGACAAGTACGGTATGCATCCACACCAAACTCCTAACTCCCAATCCTTGAGGCGATTGAGAGTCCAAACTCGATTTTTGAGGCGCCTAAAAAAAGGCATGCATCCACACCAAACTCCTAACTCTCAATCCTTGAGGCGCCTAAAAAAAAAAAGATTTTTGTTTTGAGGCGCCTCAAAAAACGATTTTTGTTTTGAGGCGCCTAAAAAAAACGATTTTTGTTTTGAGGCGCCTCAAAAAACGATTTTTGTTTTGAGGTGCCTAAAAAAAACGATTTTTGTTTTGAGGCGCCTAAAAAAAACGATTTTTGTTTTGAGGCGCCTCAAAAAAGGCATGCATCCACACCAAACTCCTAACTCTCAATCCTTCCCCTCGGGGATCACCTCAAGTCCCAGAAACTGCTTGAGCATTGGAGATGGTTGTCTAGCAGGGGCCTCTTCTTTCCCTGAGCTAGTACCACCAACCTCCTTTCCATCACCTCCTCCCTGAGCCGCGGCCTTTACTGCTGCACCTTTTGATTTTGCTGCTGCTCCTGCAGCTTCTGCTGCCCCTGCTCCTGTTGCTGCTGCTCTAGCTGCTGCTGCTGCTGCTGCTGCTGCTGCTGCTGCTCCTCCTCCTCCTGCTGCGTCTTGCCCTGCTTCTTCCTCTGCTGCTCTTCTTTCCACAGTTTCACTCTTTCTTTTTCCTCCTGGTGCTGTGTCAGCCTCAGCTGTATCACTCAAAGCACCTTCACTTATCTGCATCGTCCTGTCCCCCTCATTATCCACCATCTCCATATGCTGCGATAGCAGCTTCGGCAATCCGAAGAAATGAGCTGAGTCAACCCCAAAGAGAGCCCTCAGCTTGTCGTCAAACGCTGCTGTGTTGGGGCCTGCTTGAAGGTTGTTGGCCTTGACATAGTTCCACACAAGGCTTGTTGCCTCAAGAATGCTCAGCTGCTCGTGCTGTGGGGAGAAAAGAGTGAGCAAGTAGCACACAGAAAGGAGGGACTGGCTATGAGGTTGTGGGCTTTGATGTAGTTCCACACGAGGCTTGTTGCCTCAAGAATGCTCAGCTGCTCGTGCTGTGAGGGGACAAGAGTGAGCAAGTAGCACACAGACAGAAAGGTTCCAGCTATAAGGTTGTGTGCTTTGATGTAGTTCCACACGAGCTGCTCAGCTGCTCGTGCTGTGGGGTGAGTGGAATGGAGAGGAAGGGAGAGGAATGAAAGGGGGAGAGGAGAGGAGAGGAGAGGAGAGGAGAGGAGAGGAGAGGAGAGGAGAGGAGAGGAGAGGAGAGGAGAGGAGAGGAGAGGAGAGGAGAGGAGAGGAGGAAGGGAGACGAGAAGAGACGAGAGGAGGAGAGGAGGCAAGAGGAAAGGAGAGGTCAGTTCACCCCAAGCTTGTCGAAGAAAGTTTATTTTTATAGGCAGATGCAATCGTTCTCAAACCATTGTTTAACGTCCTCAACCGTTCTCAACCCACACCACAGTCACTCACCTCCTTCCCAATGATCTCCTTCAGCTGTTCCAATGGCCTTCTGGAAAGCTGCTTCAGCCGAAAAAAACTCCATTTCTCCCTTTACATTCAAAGATTTTCTGTTGTGCTGCCCCCTACCTAGGGATGAGCAAAAAAACGAACACTCCGAACAGGTTTGTTTTTTTAGCTTAAAGTGTTCGCCGAACAGTGTTCGAGGTTCGCCCGAACACGTTCGTGTTCGGGCCGCTGCTGCAATTTGCCCCGCGACGAACACGAACGTGTTCGAGGTTCGCCCGAACACGCCTTCACAGGCGAACGGCGAACACCTGTTTTTGCTTAAGGTGTTCGCCGAACCGAACAGTGTTCGGTTCGGCAAACGGATGTGTTCGTGTAGGGGCGAACGCGAACACGTTCGTGTTCGCCCCTTGCTCATCCCTACCCCTACCCATCAATCAACATCTCTCAACCGTTCTTAACTCACACCAGTCACTCACCTCCTTCCCTATGATCTCTTTCAATTGCTCAGACGGTCTTCTCGGAAGCTTCTTCAGCCGCGCAAGCTCCGTTGCTCCTCTGTTTTCCTTCACATCTTTGCTCCCTTTCCCTGCTTTTTGAGTCGACTCAGAATTCTCTTTCACACCCTTGCTCCGCTTCCCCGCTTTAGCAGCTTCTTTCCCCACTTGAGAAGCTTCCCTCCCCACTTTTGAAGCTTCCTTCCCCACTTGAGCAGCTTCCATTCCCACTTTAGAAGCTTCCTTCCCCACTTGCGCAGCTTCCCTCCCCACTTGAGAAGCTTCCTTCCCCGCTTCTCTAACTTCCTGCATGTGTGGCTGCAGCAGCCCTGGGACTTTGGTGGAATGCGCCCCGGCAACCCCAAGGGAGGCCCCGTCAGCGCTTTCAACTTCCTGCATGTGCGGGAGCAGCAGCCCCGGCACTCTCGAGGAATTAGCCTCCTCAACCCCAAAGAGCGCCCTCAGCTTGTCGTCAAACGCTGCTGTGTTTTTTCCCGTCTTGAGGTTGTGTGATTTGACGTAATTCCACACTAGCCTCGTCGCTTCAAATATGCTCAGCTGCTCGTGCTGTGGGAGGGGAGGGGAGGGGAGGGAGGCAAGTAGAACAGAGTGAGGAGGTTGTGTGCTTTCACATAGTCCCACACTAGCCTCGTTGTGTCAAAGATGCTCAGCTGCTCGTGCTGTGGGATGGGGAAGAGGTGGAGGGAAGGGAAAGAGAACTATGAGGGGGTGGGGAGGGGAGGGAGGAAATGAGGAGGAAATGAGGCAAGTTGCACAGGGAGGGGAGGTAAGGCAAGTCAACCCTCCTCTACCGTTCTCAACCGTTTTCAACCCAGATTAATCTCACTCACCTCCTTCCCAATGATCTCCTTCAGCTGTTCAGACGGCCTCCTAGGAAGCCGGTTCTGCCGGGCAAGCTCTCAACCACTCTCAACCGTTCTCGACCAGCACTCACCTCCTTCCCAATGATCTCCTTCAGCTGTTCCGATGCCCCCCTAGGAAGCCGGTTCCTCCGTGCAAGCTCTCAACCACTCTCAACCGTTCTCGACCAGCACTCACCTCCTTCCCAATGATCTCCTTCAGCTGTTCCGATGGCCTCCTAGGAAGCCGGTTCCGCCGTGCAAGCTCCGCTCCTGCTTTGCTTGCCCATGCTTTCAACCTCTGCTGCTTCTGCTGCAGCTTAACTTCATGAGCCGTCTTCCCTTTCCCCTTTTCCCCCCTCCTGGTATCCCATCTCTCCTGATCCCCCTCCCCTCCTTCCCCAGCCGCTTTTCCCTCCTTCCCACCCTCCTCTCCAGTCTCCAAATCAGTTTTCACCGTGCTCCTCCTAGCTTCCTTGCTTTCTTGCTTTCTAGGACTTTTCACCTTGCTTGTTTCTTGACCAAATCCTTCCGCTTCCACTCTGCTAGCCTCCTCTACTACCTCCCTCCTCTCCTCCCCCTCCCCCTTCTTGCTCTTTCTCACCCTCACATTCTTCTCTCCTTTCTCCGCTGCACCAGAACCCAACCCTTCCCCTTTCACCTCAACCTGCTTTTGAGGCGCCTCAGAAATAGACTCCTCCTTCTTGCCCTTTGTCGCTCTCACCGCCTTCTCTCCTTTCTCCGCTGCACCTCCTCCCAACCCTTCCCCTTTCACCTCAACCTGCTTTTGAGGCGCCTCAAAAATAGACTCCTCCTTCTTGCCCTTTGTCGCTCTCACCGCCTTCTCTCCTTCCCCCACTTCACCAGCTCCCGTCCCTCCCCCCTCCACCTCCTCCTGCAGCATCGTCTCTCCCTTCACCTCCCCGCTTGCCGTGGGTACAGCGTTGCTTCCTTCTGCAGCAGCCTCCTTTGCCTTCTGGCCCCTTTTTACTCTCACCTTCTTCTCTCCTTCCCCCACTTCACCAGCTCCCATCCCTTCCCCTTCCACCTCCTGCTGCTTCGTCTCTCCCATCACCTCCCCGCTTGCCTTGCTCACTCCTTTCCTCCCTTCTATAGCTCCCTCCTTCTCCTTCTGGCCCTTTTTCACTCTCACCTTCTTCTCTCCTTCTCCTGCTGCATCAGCTCCTATCGCCTCCTCTTCCACCTCCTTCTGCAGCTTCGTCTCTTCCACCTCCTTCTGCAGCTTCGTCTCTTCCACCTCTTTCTGCAGCTTCGTCTCTTCCACCTCCTTCTGCAGCTTCGTCTCTTCCACCTCCTTCTGCAGCTTCGTCTCTTCCACCTCCTTCTGCAGCTTCGTCTCTTCCACCTCCTTCTGCAGCTTCGTCTCTCCCATCACTTCCTTGCTTGCCTTGCTTCCCCGTTTGCCTGCCGCCTCTCCCTTCTCTTCCTTCCCTGCACTCTTGCTCGTCTTCTTGCTTGATCCTTTCTCTGCCTCTTTCCCTGCCCCTTTCCCAGCCTCTGTGCTTGTTTCTGCTGCACCCGCCTTGCTCCCCTTGCGCTCTTTTGCAGCCTTATCAGCCTTCCCTGCCTCTTTCCCTGCCTCTTTCCCTGCCCCTTTCTCTGCCTCTTTCCCTGCCTCTTTCCCTGCCCCTTTCCCAGCCTCTGTGCTTGTTTCTGCTGCGCCTGCCTTGCTTCCCTTGCCTGCTTTAGCAGCCTTAGCAGCCTTCCTCGCAGCTGCCCTCTCTGCCCGTGCCTGCTTCACCTGCAACCGCTCAATGGCGCTCTCTAGAGTCACATCGTCTATACTCACATTCTGGCAACGAAGGGAGGTTGGGAGGGGAGGTAAAAGGGAGAGGGGAAAGAAGGAAGACGGGGAAGGAGGCGGAAAGAAGGAAGGAGGGGAGGAGGCGATGTCTCAACACTTGAAAGCTCAGGGGAGGAGGAGCATGGGTGTGTGTGAGGGTATGGAGTGGTCTTAGCAGCCTGCCTTTGCAGCCTTAGCAGCCTTCCTCGCAGCTGCCCTCTCTGCCCGTGCCTGCTTCACCTGCAACCGCTCTATGGCGCTCTCTAGAGTCACATCGTTGATACTCACGCTCTGAGAAAGCAGAAAAGGGGCAGAAAAAAAGAAGGTAAATGAACGAACCTGATCTGATCATTATGCAGCACATGCATTCTGTGGAATGACGCGAGGAGCACATGCCATTTCTTAACCGTCCCAAAAGTGCCACGCCAAGCTTTTGCCACTCAAGTGCGTGCTAAGCAGGCAATATGGCTCACTTAGAATGCTTCAGAATATATGCTGAACGGGTTTCTCACTGTGCCCAACGATGCTCTGATGAGCCCGATTGCGGGGTGATCATGCTCCACGTAGAAGCCAAAGGGACCGTTGCAGAGCAGCACAGAAGCACTGATGCTCTGTCCCTCTTCCCGCACCTCACTCCCTTGGGCCGTGGTAAACACTCTCTCACCGTGCCCAACGATGCTCTGATGAGCCCGATTGATGGGTGATCATGCTCCACGTAAAAGCCAAAGGGACCGTTGCAGAGCAGCACAGAAGCACTGATGCTCTGTCCCTCTTCCCGCACCTCACTCCCTTGGGCCGTGGTAAACACTCTCTCACCGTGCCCAACGATGCTCTGATGAGCCCGATTGCTGGGTGATCATGCTCCACGTAGAAGCCAGAGGTACCGTTGCAGAGCAGCACAGAAGCACTGATGCTCTGTCCCTCTTCCCGCACCTCACTCCCTTCGGGCCCTGGTAAACACTCTCTCACCGTGCCCAACGATGCTCTGATGAGCCCGATTCCCGGGTGATCATGCTCTACATAGAAGCCAAAGGGACCGTTGCAGAGCAGCACAGAAGCACTGATGCTCTGTCCCTCTTCCCGCACCTCACTCCCTTGGGCCCTGGTAAACACTCTCTCACCGTGCCCAACGATGCTCTGATGAGCCTGATTCCCGGGTGATCATGCTCCACGTAGAAGCCAGAGGGACCTTCGCAGAGCAGCACGGAAGCACTGATGCTCTGTCCCTCTTCCCGCACCTCACTCCCTTGGGCCCTGGTAAACACTCTCTCACCGTGCCCAACGATGCTCTGATGAGCCCGATTGCGGGGTGATCATGCTCCACGTAGAAGCCAGAGGGACCGTTGCAGAGCAGCACAGAAGCACTGATGCTCTGTCCCTCTTCCCGCACCTCACTCCCTTGGGCCCTGGTAAACACTCTCTCACCGTGCCCAACGATGCTCTGATGAGCCCGATTCCCGGGTGATCATGCTCCACGTAGAAGCCAGAGGGACCGTTGCAGAGCAGCACAGAAGCACTGATGCTCTGTCCCTCTTCCCGCACCTCACTCCCTTGGGCCCTGGTAAACACTCTCTCACCGTGCCCAACGATGCTCTGATGAGCCCGATTCCCGGGTGATCATGCTCCACGTAGAAGCCAAAGGGACCGTTGCAGAGGAGTACAGTTCCCCCCTCTGGGTGTGGCCCCTGTGTGTGTGAATGTGCACGAAAGAGGGAGAGTGGAAGATAGGAAGAGAGGGGAAAAAAAAAACGTTGAGTGAGATGAGAAAGAAGAGATTTAGAGGGTAAGAAGGAAAGAGGTTCAAAGGAAAGAGTCACGTCGATCTGAGGGAGGGCAAGGAGAAGGATTGATTTGGAGGGAGCGGCCGCGGCAGTGCAGTGAATGAACGGGGCTGTGTTGTGAATGAGATTTTGTTGAACGAACAAGACTTACGATGGTCCGAGGGAAGGCGAGAAGCTCAAGGGCCTTGGGAAGATCAACCGCATCTGGATGGGTGCCCTGGGAGGCAAAAGAGAGCACATGCGGGGAGAATGGAGTGGAAGGCATGACAGCGAGAAGGTGTGGGCAGAAGGCGATGTTTGGTGGAAAAGCGAGAAGCTCAAGGGCCTTGGGAAGATCAACCGCGTCTGGATGCGTGCCCTGGGAGGGGGAGGAGGAGACAAGACAGGACAGGACAGGACAGGACAGGACACGGAAGGTGGAGTGGGAGGGGCGCACACGAGAAGGTCAAGGGCCTTGGGGCGGTCAACTGAGTCTGGATGCGTGCCCTGGGAGGGAGAGGAGGGGATAGGACAGAGACGGGTTTTTGAGTCAGCTAAAAAAAGGAGGGGAGAGGACAGAGGGGGGAGGCAGGGTGGGGGGAGGCAGGGTGGGGGGAGGCAGGGTGGGGGGCGAGAAGGTGAGGGAAGGTTGGGTTGGATAGGTGGTGTTTGGGGAAGGTTGGGTAGGTGGTGCCTGGGGAAGGTTTGGTAGGCGATATACGTGGGATCAGGCTCTTACCGGCGGCAAGGATGCTCTGTTTACTTTGGAGACCTTGCCGTATGAGGATCTCTCGACATAGGCTCCATAGGGACCCACTTTAAGCCAGATCTGTGGAAAAACCCACACCACAAGCAGTACACAAGAGAAGATGAGACGAGAGAGGAAAGCACGAACAAAGCGGAAGAAATAGAGGAAACACAAAAAAACTTTGATGTGGATTGTGAACAGAAAATGTTGACTAACGAATATGGTTTTGATGCATCTCAGTCACGAACCCCTTTTCTACCAGCCCTCACCAAAGCAATCACCTTGGCTCCTGTGCTGGGGTCCTCCCCTATTATGTGCGCCACATGGTCGATTGCCACGGCTAGAGTGCTGTCACCACTCTCACCTTGCCATTCCAGATGTTCACTGTCAGTCAACTCCCTTCCTCCCCCCTTCACTTCTCACCTTAGCCCCTGTGCTTGGGTCCTCCCCTATATTGTGCGCCACAGGGTCGATTGTCACAGCTGGGGTGCTGTCAGTCCCACCGCACCGCACACCCCACGTCACACCTCCCTTCGTTTTTCTCATCCCCCCTCTCACTAATCACCTTGGCCCCTGTGCTGGGGTCCTCCCCTATAATGTGCGTTACACAGAATCGATTGCCACAGCTAGTGTGCTGTTAGATTGGAGCCTTGTGTTAGCATTTGAGAGGTTGTAAAACTCACCTTGGCTCCTATACTGGGGTCCTCCCCTATAATGTGTGCTACTGGGTCGATCGCCACTGCTAGAGTACCAGCCTTCCCCTCCTGCTCCACCACTCGGGCATCTTCCCCCCCCCCACAAGAGTTCAGAGGAGTTTCAACTCAACACGCACCTTGGCCCCTGTACTGGGGTCCTCCCCTATTATGTGTGCCACAGGATCGATTGCCACTGCTAGAGTGCCAGCCTTCCCCTCCTGCTCCACCACTCGGGCCTTGAAGCTGCCCGCAGGATATAGAACACATCAAATAGGAATAAAGTGAAAAGAGCATGTGGGGGAAAGGCATTGACGGACAGGGTGTTACAAGACCAGTGCCGTTTGATTTACAGTGAAAGATGGGCTGACGCGTAGTAGAAACAGGTGGGTGATGGTATTGTCTGGTACTGACTGGCATGTGGGAGAGGGAGAGAAGCCCACAAATCTACCGAACCACTTGTAATCTACCGATTTAATACTACTACGTTTACCAACACGTGTTCTCGCCTAGTACTCAGTAAGATTAGTGCCTTTTAGATTAGTCATTACCGGTCGGTCAATCCGAGCTTGCAGCTTTCTACCCGTCTCTCAGTTTGAGAGCGCAATAGAAACAGGTGGGTGATGGTATTGTCTGGTACTGACTGGCATGTGGGAGAGGGAGAGAAGCCCACAAATCTACCGAACCACTTGTAATCTACCGATTTAATACTACTACGTTTACCAACACGTGTTCTCGCCTAGTACTCAGTAAGATTAGTGCCTTTTAGATTAGTCATTACCGGTCGGTCAATCCGAGCTTGCAGCTTTCTACCCGTCTCTCAGTTTGAGAGCGCAATAGAAACAGGTGGGTGATGGTATTGTCTGGTACTGACTGGCATGTGGGAGAGGGAGAGAAGCCCACAAAGGTACCACTACAAAAGCAGCCGATGAAGAAATGGCATGACTGGCATGACGATCAAAGTAAAATGAAGGGGTGGGGCGAAGCGAAGGCACTGACTGGCATGTGGGATAGGCGGAGCAGCCGACGAAGAGGCCCACTCCCCGGCTGGAGAAGTTGTACTCCAACTCGCCGCTGCCACAACTGTGTGGGGGGTTTGGGGGTGTTTAGAGCGGTGAAGGAGAGTGCAGGGGAGCGAAGGGGGGTGAAGGGGGGTGAAGTGGAGTGCAGGAGACTTTGGAGGTGCATGCCACGTCCCGGCTGGAGAATGGGAGAATGCCACGTCTCGCCGCTGCCACAGCCGGAGGAGAAAAGGGTTGAGGAGAGCGCGAGGTTGTCTTTATTAGCACGAAGACATCGTTTAGGGACAACGACGGTAAAAGCAGGCTAAGGGCGCCGCCTATTATGTTTTGGGCTGGTCTTGGAGGGTGAGGGTGAGGGTGAGGGTGAGGGTGAGGGTGATGGTGAGAATGATGGTGATGGTGATGGCGATTTCAAGACGCCTCAAAACGCTGGGCTGAAGGGGTATGAGGGGAGACGCACCTTGGGCAGGTCTTGGAGGTTGACGTTGAGGGTGAGGGTGAGGGTGAGGATGATGATGGTGATGGATTTGTCTCAGACAATGTTGATGGTTCCGATGATTGGGATGACAAGGAGGAGGAAGAGGAGGATGTCATAAGAGTAGGAGCGCGGGCTTTGGCCAGTACTTCTGAGTAGGTCCCTGCTGCCTCCACAAGCAGCCCATCGCCTAGTGTGACCTGCACTGCCGACCCTACCTGCCAGGTACGGTAAGGGAGTAAGGTGTTCCGTTATCACTTTGGCCAAAGTAAGTCTGTAAGGTACTTGGGAGGAGTAAGTCTGAACTGCCTCCACCAGCAGCCCATCGCCTAGTGTGACCTGCACTGCCGACCCTACCTGCCTGCCAGGTAGGAAACACACACAAGGTACAGAAGACAGGACATGAGAGGCAGGCTATAAGGCCAGTGCTTGAGAATAGGTCTGTACTGCCTCCACCAGCAGCCCATCGCCTAGAGTGACCTGCACTGCCGATCCCACCTGAAGCGAAGGTAGGGAAGCGAAGAAACAGAACACGAAGGGCAGGCTGTAAGGCAAGCACTTCGGCCAGCACTTGAGAGTAGGTCTCTGCTGCTCCCACCAGCAGGCCATCGCCTAGCGTGACTTGCAATGCGGAGCCAACCTGCCAAAAGAGTTTGCATAGTAGGACGGGGAAGGGAGCAAGGTAAATTAATACCAAGCGCCGTCAGCACTCTCGAACGCGTGCCCACCCAGCACTCTCCCTCTCCTAACCCTCTCCCTCCTCTCTCTAATCCGTCATTCACAGCTTGCGGAGACAGCTTATGCATTTCTTCCACTCTCAAGCAATGCCAGCCCAGCTTGATTGAACTCGCACGCTCGTGTCACATTTAACATTTCCTCTCCTCTCCTCGCCTCTCCGCCACTCACCGCTTGCGGTGACAGCTTGTGCATTTCTTCGACTCTTGGTTGGAAGTCGGTCCAGAAGGTTCTGAGAACCTGCCGCCAGTCCTCCTCCCCTGCTGCCACGTCATCAAACTGCAACAAATGGGAGGGTAGAGGGAGACACAGTGCGTGCAGGAGACACAGTGCGTGCAGGAGACACAGTGTGTGCAGGTACAAGTTGTCATAAAATGACAGGAGAGAAAACGGAAGTGAATCTAGTAAGTGGAGGAGAAAGCAGTGCATGCAATGCAGGTATTGCTGTAAGCAAGAAACAGGAATGGGCAGTGTGGGCGGGTAGTGTGCGTGTGCAGGTAGTACACTAAGCAGTATGTATGTGCTGTTATGCGTCTGTCCTTTACCTTGGATTCAAGCTGGGCTGTGAAGCCGGCATCCACATATGGTTTCACAGCCCACTCTCTGAAGCTTGAAAAAGGAGCCGGCATTCACATATGGTTTCATGAAGTGGAGGAAAAAGGAGTGAGTGCAGAGAGTGCTGTGAGCAGGTAGCGGTGTGGCCAGTGCAGGCAGTTGTCAAAGCAGGTATGTGCTCTGTCTCGCCTCGACTATGCATTACCTTGGATTCGAGTTGAGCAGTGAACCCCGCATTCACGTATGGCTCCATGAAGTGGAGGAGAAACGCGTTGGCCTGCAACAGCATGGACATGCAGCACAGACATACACATTGATACAGGTTTGAGAAGGTGCTTCCACTCACACACACACGCACGCACGCACGCACGCACGCGCGCGCGCGCGCGCGCACACACACACACACACACACACTGCGTGTCTTCTGCACGACCGCACTGCACCTTCTTCTGCATTTGAAGCACCTCATAAGCAACCATCCACCGATGCCCCACCTCACCAAAGCCGCCTGCGGCAGGTCTTTTGAGAGTGCCTTCACTCACACCAACCACTCATCTCCAGGGCACCTCACTCACTCACTCACTCACTCACTCGCTCACTCACTCACTCACTCACTCACTCGCTTGCTCACTCACGCACTACTCACTCACTCACCAGCCGTCCCCTGATAGTGGGGTGTAATCTGCGCGAATCCAGCTCCACGTATTTGCGTTCCTGGAAGGGGCAGTTGTGGCATAGGAGGGTAGTTTGCTTTTAAGGTACCTCAAATACAGAAATATTGTGTATTGCGAACAAAAGGAAAAGACCATTCGGTCAGATGCACTGTGCGTGCGATTTGTGTGTGGGGTGGGTACAACTCACAAGGAGCGTCTTGAGCGTGGGAGCATAGGTGGATGGTCGACCAATGCCCTCCGCCTCCATTTTCTTGATCTGAAAGGGACGTGGTGGGTGGGGAGTCAGTCGAAGCCAATCGAAGCGGGAAGACGTATCCGGCTATTAAGTTGATTGGTTGAGGATTATGTAGGCTCTCGATTGCCATGCTAGAAAAGTGGTGGAGTGGAGAGTCAGAGTGGCGAGTCAGTCAAGGCGAGGGGATATCTGAGGTTGGCAGTTGCAGTCCAGTGCAGTCTTTTGAGTTGACTCAAAGTTCAAGCGACTTTTGAGTCGACTCAAAAGGCAGTTGCAGTCCAGTGCAGTCTTTTAAGTTGACTCAAAGTTGAAGCGACTTGTAGGATTAGCATTTGCGGCGAAGGAAGATAGCGAGATTGAGCTCTCAAGTTTCCAAATCATTCTTACTTAATTCACGGACCACCTCTCACAAGAGCCTAGATGAAGGAAGATCGTAAGCCTTCAAATTTCCGAAACATCCTTACTTACCAGAGCATATCTTACCAGAGCGCCACAATTTATCGGAATTTTACCAAAATGCATCAAACTTACCAGTCCACAACTTACCAGTGCTGCTTCGGTGTATCTCGGAGGGGGCCGCGTGAAGTGCTGACTAGGATCCACGGATTCGACCAATAGCCTGTCGCCAGGCTGGCATAGTTAACCACACGGCGGGTAAGGGATGGAGAGGTAGTGGGAGAAGGAAGTCAATCAAACGACCACTAGTGCAAAGAGTTTGACCTGCAAAGGTGAGTTGTGGAGTGGACTTTTGAGGCGCCTCAGAAGAGTTGACCTACGAAGGTGAGTAATGAAGGTCCCTGGAGTGGAATGAAGGTCACAATCACCTGAAGGGCCATGATTTCTTGGAACACGTCTGACGTGGCGGCTGTGCTGTCAGCCTCCGCTGACGTGGCATCGCCAGGTGGCGGCTCTGTGGTTATCCCTTCTGACAGGTCAGACAGGTAGCCCAGCGTCCTCGAGTCCTGAAATGGTGGGTGGAGTAAGAGAATGTTAGGCGGTAAGACAGTAGGGTGGGGCATACACGCTGTGTCATCATGGGTACGCCACGCGGTATGACAGTTGGTTGGATTGCATGGGTCAGTCAGACAGGTAGCCCAGCGTTTTCAAATCCTGAATGGGCGCATGGAGTGAGAGAATGTTAAGTTAGGCAGTAATACAATACAAGCTGGTTTTTGAGAATTCTCAAAAACAATACAAGTAAACAAGAAGGTACTCACTCACACTGTTCTCAAACTGAGAAACGGATAGAAAGCAGCAAGCTCGGTTTGACCGAACAGTAATGACTAATCTGAAAGGTACTAACCTCACTGAGTAACGAGAAGCTACTCACTCACACTGTGTGCAGCGAGAGCCTGGGAAGGCGATGCAAAAGCGTTGGCTCGTATCATCATAGGATTGCGGGAGGGGAGAGAAGGCAGTTAGACGCACTGCTGCTGTCCCAACAATGCAACGCAGCAAGACATGCTGTTTCCAAACATCTTCAGGGAGTGAGTCAGTCAGGCAACTCACACTGTATTTTTGAGGCACCTCAAAAATCGACTCACAATGTGCGCACGAGCTGTCAGTAGCAGACAAGTGGGCTGCGGAGGTCTACCCAGGCACGGCAACTCACACTGTATGCAGCGAGAAAGCCCGGCCATGCAATGGCAAAGGCGTTGGCTCGTAGAACAGCCGGGGGAGAAGCGGAGGGAGCAGCCGTGTCGAGAGAAGGAGACTCAGAAACAGAAGGGTCTTGCGACGGGAAGGCGGAGAGCAGAGAGGGGTCGAAGGGGTATGCTGCAATGTCCACTGCTACCTGTGGGTGGGGAGGGGAGTGGAGGGAGAGAGGGATGGAAAACGACGGTGAGGAGCTGTTTTCAGTCTAGTTTTAAAGTTTTGAAGTCACCATGGCAGAACCTAGTTATGAAGTGCCTAAGAATCTATTTTGTTTTTCAGTCGCGTTTTAAAAAAAAGCTCCTTTGAGTCACCTTGAAGTCATCAAGGCAGTGAGAAGATGAAATGGCAATCCAACACAGTGAACATTGACTAGGAGTAACCCTCTAAAATAGAGTGTAACTGGTGAACTCACCCTGTCGTAGACGGCATTTGCCATCTGAGCTGAACGGCTGCGAAATTAGGCCCAGACGAGAGCGTAGAGCTTCCACTGCTAAGATTGAACATCACCCTTGCAAACTAGTGCTCTCACCCTATCGTAGACGGCGTTTGCCATCTGAGAAGCCGCGAATCGAGCCCAGACGAGCGCATAGAGCTTCCACTGCTCCTCTGTCAGGTCAGGTTTTACCAATGCTGAGAGGGGAAGGGAGAAGCAGGCAGACAGGCAGGCAGCACAGGCAGACACACAGGCGTGTGCAGTCTGTTCAGTGAGGCCCATATGAGAGCATACAGCTTCCACTGCTCCTCTGTAAGGTCAGGTTTTACCAATGCTGAGAGGGGAAGGGGAGAAGCAGGCAGACACACAGGCGTGTGCAGTGTGTTGAGTTGGGCCCATATGAGAGCATACAGCTTCCGTTTTTGTGCTGTCAAGTCAGGTTCAACCGATGCAGAGAGGAAAGGTGGGAGGAAGGGCATAAGGTGTTGCGTTTCTAAAAGTAACCTACCCACCCCACATGGCAGCTACCTTTGAGGCGCCTCAAAACTAGACCACATGGCAGCTACCTGGCAGCAGGTGTGGGTGCGTCGGTCTGATGGCTTCATGCGCCTCCTGGGCGTTCCTCGCCTTGGATGCAAACACGCGGGGAGATGGAGACACGAGCTTGCTGCCGTACTTCTGCTGCAGCAACGAGCGTAGCGACGCTACCGCTGTTTGAGAGACCTGGTAAGGCAAGCGGGGAGGAGGGGGGAGAGAGTGAGAGAACGGAACCCACCACTTCCTCGCCTTGGAGGCAAACACGCGGGGAGATGGAGACACGAGCTTGCTGCCGTACTTCTGCTGCAGCAACGAGCGTAGCGACGCTACCGCTGTTTGAGAGACCTGGTAAGGCAAGCGACCTGGAGACCTGGAAGGGTGACGGCGGTGGACAGCGAGTGAGAGCGGGAATGGGGAGCGAGTGAGAGCGGGAATGGGGAGCGAGTGAGAGCGGGAATGGGGAGCGACAGCGGGAGGGAGACATCGAGATGTGGAGGCATGAGCTTGCTTGCTGCCGTATTTCTGCTGCAACAAGGAACAGAGTGATGCTACCGCTGTTTGAGAAAGCTGGAAGGGTGAGGGGGGACAGCAAATGAGGCGGGAGTGATAGTGGGAGGGAGAGAGAGAGACAGGGGGATTCGGAGACACGAGCTTGCTGCCTGCCTACTAGGAAACAATTAGAAGGAAACAAGCAGCAGGAAACAACCACTCAGGTTTTTGGAGGAGGAAAGCCATGCCGACAAACCTGAAGCCCCTCGCCACACCCCCCTCCCTCACCTGAACGCTGTCTGTGCGCATGAAGGTGATCAACCCAGTCACCTCACCGCCCCTCCTCCTCCTCACCACCACCACGCCTGACCACGCCTCAGCTTTTATGCTCTTACCCACCCAATGCCGTCTGCAACCCTTAATAGCGTTCCCCACCTGAACGCTGTCTGTGCGCATGTATGTGATCAGCCCAGTCACCACGCGTCCTCCTCACCACCACCATGCCTCACCACTTACAACCACTCACCACCACTCACCAACCCTCACCACACCCCCCCCCCCCTTCACCTGAACGCTGTCTGTGCGCATGTACGTGATCAGCCCAGTCACCACCCCTCCTCCTCCTGACCCCTTCCGCCCCGCCCCCTTCGTCCCGCCTGCGCCCTTCCCTTGCAGCACTCGGGAAGCCTCGGGGCCCAGTGCCACTCCCTCGTATAACCGCTGGGCCACCTGGAATGGAAGGGTGGGGTGGGGTGTGGAGTAAGGGAGAGAAAGCAGGAAGAGAGGTTTGATGCCCCGTGCTTGAAGCACTCGGGAAGCCTCGGGGCCCAGTGCCACTCCCTCGAACAACCGCTGGGCCACCTGGAATGGAAGGGTGGGGTGTGGAGAAAGGGAGAGAAAGCAGGAAGAGAAGCTTGATGCCCCGTGCTTGAAGCACTCGGGAAGCCTCGGGGCCCAGTGCCACTCCCTCGTATAACCGCTGGGCCACCTGGAATGGAAGGGTGGGGTGGGGTGTGGAGTAAGGGAGAGAAAACAGGAAGAGAGGTTTGATGCCCCGTGCTTGAAGCACTCGGGAAGCCTCGGGGCCCACTGCCACTCTCTCGTACAGCCGCTGGGCCACCTGGAATGGGGAAAGCAGCGAACGGAAAGCAGAGAAGGGGGGAAGCTCAAACCCTTTTCTTCCCTTGCAGCACTCAGGAAGCCTCGGGGCCCACTGCCACTCCCTCGTATAACCGCTGGGCTAGTTTTGAGGCGCCTCAAAACCGTACAGCCGCTGGGCTACCTGGAACGGGGGAGGGGAGGCAAGGGGGTGGAGTAAGGGAGGGAAAGACAACCCATTGAGACACAGACAGCACTCACCGACATGGTTCTGCTGGGGCTGAGCCCCAGTTTCGAAGAAGCCTCTTGCTGCAGAGACGATGTGGTGAAGAGGGGAGAGGGGGACCGCCTGGTCTGCGAGCGATGCACTCCTTGCTGCACCGCCTCTTGCTGCAGCTCACTCCCCTCCACCAGCATTGCCGCTGCCAGTGCTCTCTCCCCGTCCCTTATTCCTTATCCCCCACAGGAGAAACCCTAGAAAAGTGCTCTCTCCCCGTCCATTGCTATACAGCACTCACCGACATGGTTCGGCTGGGGCTGAAACCCAGCTTGGACGATGCCTCCTGCTGCATTGATGAAGTGGTGAAAGGAGGGGAAGGGGACCGCCTGGTCTGCGAGCGATGCACTCCCTGCACCTGCAGCTCACTCCCCTCCACCAGCATTGCCGCCGCCAGTGCTCTCTCCCCGTCCCTTATCCCACCCTCCACTTCTCCTGCTGCTGCCTTCTCATCTCCTTCTTTGGTTTCCTTTGATTCTTTCGCCTCTTTCGCTCGTCTCCCTGCTGTTCCTCCTCCCCCTCCCCCTCCCCCTGCCGCTGCCCCTACTGGCTCCCCAAAGAGGTGGGTGAGCCTTGCTGGGAACGACAGAGGCGGATAGATCCCCACTCCTGTTGCTGCTACTCCTTCTCCTGCTGCTCCTGCACTTGCTTCTCCTTCTCCTTCTCCCCCTCCTGCTCTTCTGCCCCTCCCTGTCTGCTTCGTTTCAGCGATCCCTTTCGAGCTTTCAAGAATGGTACCCTTGGTGGCTCGACACGCCTGGACCATTGCACTCACAGTCCAGTACTCCTGCGCGTTAAACCCCGCCACTTCCCCCTCCCTCTCGCACACAAACCGCAACGCCACCGACTGAACACGCCCTGCAGATTTGCACCCGGGAAGCTTCCTCCAGAGCACAGGCGACAGGTTAAAGCCCATGAGAAAATCTAAAACCCTGCGGGCGAAGTATGCGTCTACTAAGGGTTGGGAGAGCAGGCGGGGGTGGGAGAGAGCGGAGAGAACAGCAGATGGGGTGATTTCATGGAAGGTGGCTCGGTGGATCGTGAGATCGCAGCCGTTGGATCCTGCGGCTGGGAGAAGCCATTCATCGTTGGATGGAGAGGGGAGGTGGGAGGGAGAGAGGAGAGGTGCGGAGGAGGGTGACGATGATGATTCTTGCAGCAGTGGTAGTGCTTGTGATGGTGATGGTGATGCTGGTGATGGTGATAATGATTCTGATAGTGGAAAATCGCTGCCGCTGCTGCCACTTTTGCTGCCTGCTCTGCTTCTGCTTTCCTTCAGCTCCTTCCTAACCTCCCCCAGAAGCTCCTCCCCCTCCAACCACCCATGCTCCCCCTCCTGCTCACCATGCTCCCCTCCTTGCTGCTTCAACCCTTCGCCTTGCATCTCAACCGCGCCACCAACAGCACCATCAGCAGCAGCAACATTGGCACTCGCCGATCCATCTAAACTCTCCAATCCTTCTGCTTCGGGACTCAACAGATTCGACTCTGTAGCAGCAGCTCCAGAGGGGAAAAGATCGGATTCTCCCTCCCACCCCTCTGCACCTTGTAGCACCGCTTCTCCCTCCTCTGCTGCCTCCTGTGCCTCTGCTGCCAGTTGCTGCTCCAGGAGAACCGCCTGTTGGTGTCGTGAGGGGAGGTGACAAGAACAGAATAAGATTATGAAAGGATGATGCGTCATTCCTCCCTCTCCTCAGCTGCCTCCTGTGCCTCTGCTGCCAGTTGCTGCTCCAGGAGAACCGCCTGTTGGTGTCGTGAGGGGCCGAAACGAAACATAAAACGAAAAAGGGCAGGAAGATCGAACAGTGGGTGGGTGCAGGATGGAAAGTGGGAGAATGGATCAGGAGATGAGAAAGGACAAGGAAAAATATATAATTGTAAATATATATATATGTACATATATATATATATATTTTTTTTTAAAGGTAAAGTAAATCAGAACCAATTACCTGTTGCACCATCTTCTCTCTCCGCTGCTCCTTCTCCCTCTGCTGCGCCTCTGCTCTCCTCCTTGCTGCAGCAGCCCCCTTGAGCAGTTGATAAACATGCCACGCTATGGCCTCCCCCTCCCTGTCCGCGTCTGTTGCCAACACGACTCCTTGGGACCTGCGGTGAAGGAGAGAGGAGGGAGAGAGACGGTAGCACCCTTGATGAGACAGCAGCATCAGCAGCAGCAGCAGCCTTAAGCGGTTGATACACGTGCCACGCAATCGCCTCCCCCTCCCTGTCCGCATCGGTGGCCAACACGACTCCTTGGGACCTGCAAGCACAGGGGGGGAGAATGGGAGAGGGGTAAAGGGATTTATCAGCAACAGCCCCCTTGAGCAGCTGATACACATGCCAGGCGATTGCCAGGCGATCGCGCCCCACTCCCTGATGCAAGCACAACGCATCAGTGGCAAGCACAACGCATCAGTGGCAAGCACAACGCATCAGTGGCAAGCACAACGCATCAGTGGCAAGCACAACGCATCAGTGGCAAGCACAACGCATCAGTGGCAAGCACAACGCATCAGTGGCAAGCACAACGCATCAGTGGCAAGCACAACGCATCAGAGGCAAGCACAACGCATCAGTGGCAAGCACAACGCATCAGTGGCAAGCACAACGCATCAGTGGCAAGCACAACGCATCAGAGGCAAGCACAACGCATCAGTGACAAGCACAACGCATCAGTGGCAAGCACAACGCATCAGAGGCAAGCACAACGCATCAGTGGCAAGCACAACGCATCAGTGGCAAGCACAACGCATCAGTGGCAAGCACAACGCATCAGTGGCAAGCACAACGCATCAGTGGCAAGCACAACGCATCAGTGGCAAGCACAACGCATCAGTGGCAAGCACAACGCATCAGAGGCAAGCACAACGCATCAGTGGCAAGCACAACGCATCAGTGGCAAGCACAACGCATCAGTGGCAAGCACAACGCATCAGAGGCAAGCACAACGCATCAGTGGCAAGCACAACGCATCAGTGGCAAGCACAACGCATCAGTGGCAAGCACAACGCATCAGTGGCAAGCACAACGCATCAGTGGCAAGCACAACGCATCAGTGGCAAGCACAACGCATCAGTGGCAAGCACAACGCATCAGTGGCAAGCACAACGCATCAGTGGCAAGCACAACGGATCAGAGGCAAGCACAACGCATCAGTGGCAAGCACAACGCATCAGTGGCAAGCACAACGCATCAGTGGCAAGCACAACGCATCAGAGGCAAGCACAACGCATCAGTGGCAAGCACAACGCATCAGTGGCAAGCACAACGCATCAGTGGCAAGCACAACGCATCAGAGGCAAGCACAACGCATCAGTGGCAAGCACAACGCATCAGTGGCAAGCACAACACATCAGTGGCAAGCACAACGCATCAGTGGCAAGCACAACGCATCAGTGGCAAGCACAACGCATCAGTGGCAAGCACAACGCATCAGTGGCAAGCACAACGCATCAGTGGCAAGCACAACGCATCAGTGGCAAGCACAACGGATCAGAGGCAAGCACAACGCATCAGTGGCAAGCACAACGCATCAGTGGCAAGCACAACGCATCAGAGGCAAGCACAACGCATCAGTGGCAAGCACAACGCATCAGTGGCAAGCACAACGCATCAGTGGCAAGCACAACGCATCAGTGGCAAGCACAACGCATCAGAGGCAAGCACAACGCATCAGTGGCAAGCACAACGCATCAGTGGCAAGCACAACGCATCAGTGGCAAGCACAACGCATCAGTGGCAAGCACAACGCATCAGTGGCAAGCACAACGCATCAGTGGCAAGCACAACGCATCAGAGGCAAGCAGCACAACGCATCAGTGGCAAGCACAACGCATCAGTGGCAAGCACAACGCATCAGTGGCAAGCACAACGCATCAGAGGCAAGCACAACGCATCAGTGGCAAGCACAACGCATCAGTGGCAAGCACAACGCATCAGTGGCAAGCACAACGCATCAGTGGCAAGCACAACGCATCAGTGGCAAGCACAATGCCTTGCTGGAACTTGGACCCTGCTTGTATTGACCTGATTCTGAATCCAAGCACACGTTTCTCACCTTGTGAGAATTCTCAAAAGCGTTTCTCACCTTGTGAGAATTCTCAAAAGCGTTTCTCACCTGAATTGCAGCCAGAGCAGCAGCTCGGAAGTGCGGCACATCCCTCACATACCCATGCGCTGTGCATTGACTCACGTTGACTTGCATTGACCTGTGTTGATCAACACTCACCTGAAGGCGGCAAGGGCAATGGCTCTGAAATGCGGCACAGCCTGGGGCAGTATTCTCCAATCAATCGCAAAATCAGCCTCGGGCGAGACAGCATCCACCTTGTTTGGCACATCCCTCACATGCCCATGCGTCGCCAGCACCGAAAACTCTCTCTTTCTCCCCCTCACTCCCCCTGTCCCTTCTGCTTCTCCTGCTGCTCCTGCTGCTCCTGCTGTTTCTCCTCCTCCTATTGCTGCTTCTGCTGCTGTAACGAGACTTAAGGGGGGTTCGGGATCAGAGGCTAAATGTTGGAGGTAACCCTGAATTGTGCGGGCTTTTGAGGGGGATTCCACCACCACCAGCCATCGATCCACCTCCTCCCTTCTATTCGCACGTTTAGCACCACCACCAGCAGTGGTGGCAGTAGTAGTAGTATAGACCGCATTCTCTCCCAGAGCAGTGGGAGTGAGAGACCTACTGCTTACTTCTGCTTCTTTTTCCTCTGCTGCTGCTCCTGAAACCATTGATTTCGCCAATTCTGCTGCTTCTCCTGCTGCTCCTGGCGTTGCTGAGTCAACTGCACCTACTGGTTCAGCCATACCAACCGCCTTACTCCCTGCCTTCCTCTTTGTCCTCTTGCCGGTTGCCTTCCCCAAACCCTCCTCTGCTTCTGCTGTGCCTGCTCCTGCGGCCGCTTCTGCCGCTTCTGCTGCTGCTGGCGTTGCAGTGTCCAGTACCATTTCGCTCTTCCTCTCACCCTTACTCACTGCCTTCCTCCGTGTCCTCTTCGTCACCCCTACACCCTCTGCTGCTGCTGCTGCTGCTGCTGCTGATACTGCTGCTGCTGGCGTTGCAGCGTCCAACACCGTTTCGCTCTTCCTTACTGCTTTTTTCCTCGGGCTCTTCACCTTCGCCTCTCCCGGGCCCTCCTCCCCCTCCTCTCCCTTCTTCCTTCCTTTCAAAGCCTTCTTCTTTCCCAGAACCACATCTGCTGACTCGGCAGCAGTTGCTGACTCAGCACGTATGGCCGAGCAGCACAGCTGCCTTGTGCTGCAGGTACTACCGCTGCTGCTGCTGACACCACTGCTGCTGCAGGTGTCACCGCCGATCTTGGGTCTATGGCCATGGAAGCCGTTCGAGTTATTCGCATTCGGGATAGTGCTGCTGCTGGGTCGGCTACGGCTGTTGTTGCTGGCGCCGATTTTGGATGCACTGGTGGTAACAAAGCCGTTACTGCTGCAAGCACAGACCTTGGAGATACCGATGCTGCTGCCATTCCCTATGCTGCACTTACTAACGGTAGCGCTGCCAAGGATGAGGCTAGAACTGGTATTGACCCTGCCGCTGCTAGTGCTAAAACGGCTAATGACGTTGCTCTTGATGCTACTACTCAATCTATTACCGGGACTAATGCTGATGCTGACGCTGCTATTACTCAATGTACTAATTAATCTACTACTACTGCTACTACTGCTACTAACGCTGACGCTGCCACTACCCCGCATAGCAGCCGCGCCGCTCTCCCAGATCAGCATCAGCGCGTCGCGTCGGACTATCAAGCGGTTAACGCGCCTCGCATACGGCGAAAGTGCAGGCATCCCTCGATATTGCCGTTGCTGCTGCTTGCTGCCGCTGCCACCAACGTTCTCGCTACCGCTCGATTCTGTTACACCTAGCGTGTCGCCGTTACCGTTACTCGCTCCAGATCAACATCTGGCTATCAAGCGATCAACGGGGCGCAGATACGGGAAACACCCTCGCGTCCACGTGGACCATCCCTCCCGTCCACGTGTATCGGGATCAGCAAGTGTACAGTGTGAATCACGCCGTGGCGTCCGGGGATGGGGCGTCAAAAGCGGTACAGTGCGGTGATTCGCGTTTCCGGGCAGTTTTGAGCGTGGGATTCCTGTAAAATGACGTCTCAAAGGTATACGCCAGTCTGCAAACCTACTTTACGGTAATAATGAGGTTAATGTGCCGGATACGACGGAAGGGAGGATAGGCATTACCTATCCCAGGGGGTTATCCGTGGTCTTATGGAAAGGGGCGGGGCTTAGCAGAATTCCCGTGTATTACCTTCTCCGGTAAGAAATTCAAGCTAGGTGTGCAAGGAGTATAAAAGAATCAATATCAAAAGCCAAATGTATCTGTAATGCATATCGAGTCTGTGCATAACGAAAAGATAATCCAGGTTCTCTCCTTTCTAGAGAGGTTAAATACGGTCTAATACAAATGAGAATGGTAAAGTGCGATAGAGTGATTTCTCGCCCTAACCCCAAACCTCGGGATTACCTAATAATTCTGGCACTTCATTCCCTTGCCTCCTCCCTCCTCATCCCCACTTCAAATCTGCACTCTTACCATTCCTTCCAGCCCCTCCTCGGGATTGCCGTTTTTTGGTGAAGTCCCGTTTGTACGCAACAAGTGACGAATCATCCAACGCTAGTCCGTCTCCTGCGTCGCGGGTGCCAGATCGCTTCTCCCTCGTCTCGGTCTAATTTGTCCGAGATTTTAGTTCGTCCGAGGGCCTCCCTCCATTATAAGGCACGATCTCCGTGCAGCTCGGAAGCCGTTCTTCTGCTGTGTTAGGGTTACGCCATGGCTGACGACGAAAATGCTCCGACCGTCTCAGACGTGAGCACATCCTCCGTTTCTTCTTTCCGCCATAGTTTCCTCCTTAATTCTCAGCTATACGAAGCAAGCTGTTGCTGCTCGCACGTGTCGACAGTTCTTCCACTCTTGATACGTTCTCGCATTCAGCTGTTCTCACCGTGTGTTTGACGTTAGGCCAGTCACTTCGATCAAGCTATGCATAGCGAACGACTGGTGTGCGTTCCCGTATTCAGCTGAGGTTGTCCGTTTTTTTTTTTTCCCATTATCGTCGGTTTCCTGGTTCCAGGTTGGTTCCTTCGATCTAAGCAAGAAGAAAAAGAAAAAGAAGAAGGATCGATCTGCGGAAGAGGAAGCCGCTGACGTGGCAGAAGTCGCCGAGAAGGTGGAAGGCTTGTCAGGTAGGATCGGTTCAGTAAGGTTACCTTTGGTAAGGATAAGATCAATACGACTGGGATCAGTAGATGGAGAACCGCGTTAGGCCGTCGATCCATGTTAACATTGGCTGTTAGATGCTCTTTAATGTAATTGTTTTCGACGTCTCAAATCTGGTCGTCACTCACCTCTCGTCAATCGTTGTCAGCAACTCCTTTTTGGTCAAGTCTCGTTTGTACGCGCAAGTGACGTTTTCACGTTTGCCGCGTTAGCAATATCAATCTGGCTCTCCGTTTCCGTCCGTGTTTACCTTCGGTTTACCTTTTTCCTTGATTTCTTTCTCTTTACTATTTCGACTGCAGTGGAGGACGCCGTCGAGACCGTGGATTTCGGCGCGAAGAAGAAGAAAAAGAAGAAGCCGCAGGTAGGCTCGTCCCTGAGATTCCTATAAAAGTGAAGAAGAAGTCGTAGGTACGCCCGAAGCTCAAAGATTCGATCATGTCGGGACAAGCGCCGAAGGGTTTAAGGCATCTCAAAAAGCGAAGAGCTTAATGCCTTCGTTTGGGTTCCTTTGTGCGTTATTGTTGCATTTCCAGGCTGACAGGCGGTTGCAGACCGCGAGAAGGAAGTTGACGCGCCAGAAGAGGGATGGGGAGAGGAGGAGGTGGAATGGAGGAGGAGTTGGTTGAAGGCTGGAAGCTAGTGACCATTCACTCTTCTTCTTTTCTTCCTTCTTTTTACAGGCCGACGGGGAGGCCGCAGACGGCGAGAAGGAGAACGATGCGGCAGAGGAGGGAGCAGCAGGCGAGGAGGGGGAAGGACTGGAATTGAAGCTGGAGAAGAAGAAAAAGAAGAAGCCGAAGCAGCGCACGGAGGAGGAGGTGGTGGAGGCTTGAAACTTTTCTTTCTTTCTTTCTTTCCTTTTCTTTCTTTTACAGGCTGATGGGGAGGCCGCAGACGGCGAGAAGGAGAACGAGGCGGCGGAGGAGGGAGCAGCAGGCGAGGAAGGAGAGGGCTTGGAACTGAAGCTGGAGAAGAAGAAAAAGAAGAAGCCGAAGCAGCGCACGGAGGAGGAGGTGGTGGAGGCGGAGGAGCACGCCAAGGCTGCCGAGGAGGACGAGGAGGAGGATGATGAGGAGGGCGCGGGAGAGGGGGAGGACGACGAGGAGGCGGAGGGGATTGAGCTGGGAGGTCCCACGAAGCTTCCGTGGGAGGGGACGGACCGGGACTACAAGTATGAAGAGGTGAGCTGAATTGCTTGGATCGGGTACAGCAGGGGGTGGAGGAGGAGGAGGGGAAGGGGGGGGGGGTTGAAGGGGGTGGGGGCGGGAGGGGAGGGAGGAGGTGGGGGGTGGTAGTGGGTGGATGGGTGGAGGCGGAAGAATACGCCAAGGCTGCTGAGGAGGACGAGGAGGAGGATGAGGAGGCGGAGGGGATCGAGCTGGGGAGGTCCCACGAAGCTTCCTTGGGAGGGGACGGACCGGGATTACAAGTATGAAGAGGTGAGTTGAGCTCTTGGAAGGCAGGGGAAGGGAGGGAGGGGTGGGGAGAGGGAGGGGGAGAGAAGGGGGGGAATGGGGGGGGGAAATGGGGGGGTGAGGGAGGGTAGGGGAAGGGGAGGGTGGGTGGGGGGGGGGAGGGGGGAGGATGGAGTGGGGGGGGGGGGAGGGGGGAGGATGGAGTGGGGGGGGGGGGGGGGGGGGGGAGGGGGATGGAGTGGGGGGGGGGGGGGGAGGGGGGAGGATGGAGTGGGGGGGGGGGGGGAGGGGGGGGAGGATGGAGTGGGGGGGGGGGGGGGGGGGGGGAGGATGGAGTGGGGGGGGGGGGGGGGGGAGCGGAGTGGATGGACCGGGACTACAAGTTTGAAGAGGTGAATTGAGGTGTTCCGAGGACGAGGTGGGATGGTGAGATAGAGTGTGGGATGGAGAGATGGGAAGGAAACAGGGAATAGGCCGTGCTTGTCTGCTGTGTGTGGGTGGGTGTGGATGGTTGACCGGTTGTCTCTTGTTTTC